TCGCTGACCCTCCTCCCTTCCGAGCATTGTGTCACTCTCCAAGGAATAGCCCCTCCTAGTAACATGGCCAAAGTATGTGAGGTGAAGCTTTATCATCTTTGCCTCCAAAGAGCACTCTGGCCACACTTTCTGCAAGACATATTTGTTCTTTTGGAAGTACATAGGATGATCAGTACTCTTGTCCAACACCACAGCTCAAAGGCATCAATTCTTCTATCATCCTTATTTATTGTCCAGCTCTCAGATATATAGCAAATGATCAGAAAGACTGTGGCCTGAATCTGACGCACAGTGTTGATAGATTTTAAAAGAGTATAGTGTTCAAGCAAAATATTTTTTACAAGTAATGCTAAACTATTGCTTGATATTAAGAATGCTTCAGAGGTTATCTTTAGTTCAAAGTTAAAGATTATCTAAGAATAATAGTCTCTGCAGTTTATCCAACCTTCATGGCTCCAAGCTGTCCAGAGTCTATTAGAATTTTCAAACTTTTCTGCATTTCCCTCCATTTAATAAGCATTACTCTGCAGAATCTTTGATCAAAATATTCAATAATGGTAACCAGGCAAACAGGGTATTATGAAGTTCTTTTGGTTTCATGGCAAAAGAGTCAATTATTCATGGAAGCAGCTAGTCATGTATTCTATATTCTCCTCTTATTCCTGAGTGGTGGTCTTCCTCTATTGTTATAGACTGTTGGTCTCTTTCTTGAGTTCTATATTTTATTTATTTATTTTTCTTAAGCAACTCTATTGTTTTGATTCCTGTAACTTTGTAGTAAATCATAAATATTTTAAGTTTTTAATTTTATTCTCTATGTTGTTGTTGTTGATTGTCATCAAGTCAAGCATGACTCATAGCGATCCTATGAACAAAAGGCCTGTAGCCTTTCAATAACTATTATAATTTATCAAAGTTCAAAGAGTTTCCAGAAGCACATTGTTTAGGAAGTGGATGCCACTCCTGCTTCCAATAATTCTTTAAAAATGCTTGCTTGGGTGAGCTCTAATGGCCTAGTGGCAAGGAGCTGCGCTGCAATCCCAGAGGTGCACAGTTCAAATCCACCAGATGCTCTGCTGAAGAAGGAGGAACAATCGCCTCCTGTACCAGTCAAATCCGATTTAATGGTACACACATAAAAAAATAAATAAATAAATAAAATGCTTGCTTGACTTTTATTGGAATGTAATTGAATCTCTAAATCAATGTAAGGAGAATAAGTGTTTAAACATTGATTCTTCCAATTTATGAACCTAGTTTACTTTGTTATTAATAATATATTCTTTCATTTTATTTTGTAGTTTTCCATTTAGAGCTCTTTCATATTATTTATCATCTGTATCTGTAAGTGGTTTTGGTGCCCTTGTAATTGAATATATTTATAAATTTTATACTCAAATTTTTGTTGTAAATATAATTTACTTGTTTTGAATTTATATTCTTAAAAGACTGTGGAGCCAAGAACTTGTAAATGATAGATTTGTACCTATTGCACTACTTCTCCTAATGCAATATCGTACAGAAGTAAACTGTCAAAAGCAGGAAATTGACAGGGCCAAAGTGAAATTAACTAAAGATGTAACTCAGATTTTACTTGAGTTTTACATAAACTCATTTTTGTCACCTGCGTCTATAATTCTGTAACATTTAATGATATGCCATCAATCAGGTGAAGGCCTCAACAGCAAAGAAAACTATTTCCTAGCGTTTTGTTCTGCCTCTAGACGAAAAATAGACATTTTTAAAAGAACTTACTCTACTCTTTCCATTTCCTGATGCAAAGTTTTTAGAACATAAGCATTTAGGTGTCTTGAACCTGTCACCTGACCTTTAATCTCCAACATTTATCTTATATCTTTCATGATAGTAACATTTTTGTGCTTCATTTTGGCTAATCCTCATGATAGATTTAGGTTATTACATGTGAATTCACTCATTGTATTCAGATGGAACCGACTCAAAACTGACCCTCTAGAGGGTTTTCAGAACTGTAAATCACATGGGAGGAATAGCCCATCTTTCTTCTGTGGAGCCGCTGGTAGATTTGAATCACCGTTTGCGGCACCACTTCTGGGTTAACAACGCGTTTCCCTACAGACCATTACCTGCATTTGGATTAGCAATGAAACTCCTTACCCACTGGTCCACCAGAATTTACAAGGGATTTTACCATATTCATCTGGACAGGGAAGGGTTCAGAGTTGCTGTACAGAGGGTCGCTTATAGGTAGCAGGTGACACAATGACACATAACAACAACACATTATATTGGTTGTTTTTTTATTTAAGCATCTTGTTTAGAATCAACAAGACCTAGGGAGGGCCTTTGCATTTAAAAGTCAATTGTTATTATATTTTGGAGGAACATTCCTCAAAGTGGTACAGCACTCTTCTGTCAATATGCTGTACTGAGGTAATCTGGGTTTGTTGGGATGCTGAAACTTGTGTCATTTGGTTGTCAAATGATATGACAATGGTGGACTGTGTTTAGTGAAGCTCCCAGTTTATGACAGGTTTGTAAGCAGGAGTGGCATCCATTTCCTAAACCACATGTGTATGGAAATTCTATGAACTTTGAGAAATGACTGTAGTTATAGAAAGGCTTCAGGTCTTTTGTTCATAGGGTCACTATGAGTTGTGCTAAACTCGAAGGCAAGCAACAACAAACAATCTTTCTATTGGGCTAGAGTGAAAGGGGGTTCGGGTGGCATAGTCCATGGTGAGTAGAGCTGCTAATATGAAGGCTGTATGTCCCTGGTGGTTCAAATGCACCAGTGGCTTCTTGGGAGAAAGATAGGCAGGCTCATCCTGTGCGATGTACATCATTGGCAGCCTGATAGATGGTTACTGAGTCTGAACCAAAACTGTTAAAGTATAAAAAGAAAAAACCTCATTGCTTTTGAATTGAAATAGATTTAAACCCTCCAATGAGTTTTGGAGACATCATACACAGTAGGACGTTACATGTTTCTCTTCCATGAAGTGGCTGATGGATTCAAACCACTGAAGAGGACTGAACTAGTCTAGTCCTAAAACCAGACAAGATAAATCTGGGAAGCTCATAGGGAGCTCTGGTGGCCTAGAGGTAACGAGTTATACTGCCAACCCGCAGGCAGGCAGTTTGAATCCATCAGCTTATTTGTGGGAGATAGATAGACAATCTTCTGTGTGATTTACTACCTCTGAAAACCTGCTAGAGGGTCAGCTATGGGTTGGCTCTGACTCATTGGTATATAATAATAATGAATAAAAATGAGTTTTTAGAAAAGTCCTTGTCAAAATGCTTATATGTATGTGTCTAAAGCAAATTTTAAGGAGTTGGGGGAAAGGTGATGTGTAGATCAGCAAAAAGTATTAACAGTTTCCCCTCAGAACACAAGCTGAAGGGAGTTCCAGTAGTATGGTGGCAAGAAACTGTGCTGCAGTTCTGAAGGTGTGTGGTTCAAATCTACCAGATGCTCCACTGGAGAAGGATGGGCAGTCGCCTCCTGTGCCATTTGGATCCAACTGGATGGCACACAACAAGAAAACTAACAAACAAACACCCCACAAGCTGACAATCTACTGATCACAGTAGAAAGTCATGGACAGAGGAGAAGAAAAGGGTGACAAAAAATTAAAAAATATAAAAATGGCCAAGTTTTCTAACAGAGGCTGTTGAAACTGTTGAGAATATGACCCCTAGTCACCTGTCAGATGTGGGACAAAACTCATTTGTCTGGCTGAGTTTACAGTCAATATAAGGTAGACCTATAAAGTAAACCATAACAGTAATTAGGAACTCATCCTACAGAACAATCAACCCTACAAGATAAAAGGGCAAGGTCAAAAAAGCAGGAAAAGTAGGATAGATGGATTAATAGCAACAAGAATCATAAGGAAGTGAGACTACAGTTACATGGTGGGTATCATAACCAATGCTATAAAACAAAATGTGTTAAAAAATAAAAAATGTGTTATGAATGGTTGAAAGGAAAGCCAATTTTACTCTGTATTATTTCACTCAAATCACAAAAATTATTGGGTGGGGGGAACACCAAAGACACACTAGCTAACACTATTTTTCAGCCTTATCGTCACTCTAAATTTCAATCACCCAAAACATTAGGCAGTTTTATTCTTTAATTGTGTAAGAGACGAACGTTTGTTTCAGAACCACTTGCAAAGTGTGTGTTACAAATGCAGATTGCTAAACCCCACTCTCAGAGAGTCATTTGAGTCTGGGATTGTGTCCATGAACCAGCATTTTAACAAGCTTGCCAGGTGATTCTGAGGCCCTAAAGTATGAGAACCACTGCACCACTACCCTTCCCAGAACACATCTGGAATGTATTGTTTAAACAAATGTGTTATTTCCTTTAAGAGAGTACTCCCATTTTTATAAAGGTCTTCAGCTATAATTCATTTTTTTTAAATCAGTGGTTATATATTGACATGAAAGTACTAAGTCTAGGAATTATTATTATTATTATTTTGATGTCAAACAAATTGACCTGATGATACTTAACAGTAACTAATAACAATTCTGACCAAGTGATTACAAACTAATGAAGATAGAAAGGATCCCGTTTGAACTCTTCTTCACCTTTTCATCCCCTGTGCTGGAAACTGCCTTCCTGAACCAATTCAAGTTCTTTTTTGGATGACACCTCGATTTTTCTTTTTCTGTTAATATCTTTTGGTGAAAGATATCTCTTATTTATTATGTTTTTAGAATACATTATTGTGGTGGTGGTATATGTAGAATTGGAGCTGACTCATATCTGACCCTCCAGTGGGTTTTCAGATGCAGTAAATCACATGGGAGGAGATAGCCTATCCTCCTGTGGAACAGATGGTGGATTTGAACCCTCTGCCTTTGGCATTGTAGTGCAGCTTCTTATCAGCTTCAGACCACCAGAGTGCCCTTGTAGAAATTTTTACATCAAATAACTTTAAAAAATGATGTATTTTTAAAATTATTTTCCATTTTTAAAATATAAATAACTTTTTTTTTTTTAGGAGAAGAACGGAAAAAAGAAAGCCGCGTGTATAAAAGGTACTTTTTCTTAATACTTTAAAAGAAGAATTCTTATTTAATTTATAGCAGTTCTTATCTTAAGGAATCAAGAAACTTACATAACTTCAGATTCTTATTGGAAAACCAGACTTCTGGACACATTGAGACTGAAGGAACCCCCAGATCTATTCTTTAGAAATAATGTTTGGTTTAAGAATTTGCTGAAACAACTCACAAAACTCATGGAGAGTGCTGTACTTTTAATTTACAGTTTTATTAAAAAGAGACAAATTAGGATCATTATAAAGAGAAGACTCCCGCAAGGTCTTCATGGATTCCCAACATGGAACTTCTGTGTTCCAGAGAGTCTGTATCACTCCACAAGAGCAAATGGGGTTTTTTGTTTTTGTTTTTAAGAACAGATGTTTTTGCAAACCAGGAAGCTAATGGAGATTTGGCGTCAAGGGTTTTCAGTGGGAGAGGGGAGTTGTAATATATAATGCAAATCTGCAGTCCTTGTCCCCTAAAGCCAGTCAATATCACAGAATGATCCCATAGCAGAGCTCCCTGACCAGCCCACCATGATGTGATGATCACAAGATACCCTTGAGGTCAGCTAATTACAACAAGATGTTCTTGAGGCACTTTAAGGTGGGTTCTTTGACCTAATCACCATGAGGTAATCATCCTTCAGGCTGGGCCAACCCTTTCCTGGGTTGCTTCTCTGGACATACGCATTAGGTTTGGAATTCTTATCAGAATTCCAAGGTTCACTCTCAGGAACCAAAGATAGAGGTCAGATAACCTTAGATAAAGATTTTTTTTTCTTTTACAGGTAACAAAGTTGTAAAATTTTGTTTATTAATATATACTAAGGGAGTTCTGGTGGCCTAGTGGCAAGAAACTGTGTTGCAATCCCTAAGGCATGGGGTTCAAGATCACCAGCTGCGCCATGAGAGAATGAGCACTCTCCTCCCGTGTGATCTTAGCCTCTGAAAACCCACTGGAGGGTCAGCTATGAGTCACTTCTGACTCGATGGTACATAGCAACAACAATATACACTAAAGTCTCATAGCTGATGCCATAGTAATGCCTGCAGGTCAAAAGACATACTTTTTTCCATATATTCCATATCATATGTGAGGATCTGAAAACCTGAGAAGGAAAAGTATGGAGGGTCATATCCTTTATCCATACTTACTCAATAGGTATTGGATGCTTTTTTTAAAATGTGCTGAGTAAATCATTTGAGCAGCTGGACCATGAAGAAAAATATAGCATCATGACCCAGCTAGTCCACTAATAGGAATATACCCCGCGAAGTTAGAACTGAGACACAAACAGAGATTTGTATACCAGTGTTCATAGCAGCATTATTCACCATTGCAAGAACATGGAAATAGCCCAAATGTCCAACCACAACGGAATGGATTGAGAAATTGTGGTACATCCATACAGTGGAATACTATACAGCATACAGGAGCAACAATTTTGAAAAATACTACGTAACTTTTGAGAGGCTGGAGAGCATTATTCAGAGTGAACTAACACAGTCTCATAAGGACAAATAATGCATAAGGCCATTTTATATATATGTATATATATGGCATAGATGGACAACTGGTACAGGAGCTCAAGGAGGGGAGTGGAGGGTGAGGAAACCACAGGGCTTCACAGTTTGGTTGGAGGGGGCAAACAAATGGGAAGGATCTGGGTGAAAAGACAGGGTAATGATGGGCAAGGTCCAATGGTGATTACTTTTTAAAAATAATGCATGAGAATGAATACATGAAACACAATGTGAATGAAAAATAGTGTGAAAACACAATGTATATAAACTTTGTAAGCAAACTAATTTAAAAAATAGGCGAGCTCTGGTGGCCTAGTGGCACGAAGCTACAACTGCAAGCTCAGAGGTGCACAGTTCAAATCCACCAGATCCTCTGCTGGAGAAGGAGGAACAATCTCCTCCCGTACCAGTCATATCTGATTTGATGGTTGTTGTTGTTGTTGTTGTTTAATGCCGTCGAGTCATAGACAACTCATAGCGACCCTATGAACGAACAGCCTGAGCTGTTTTTGACGGTACACACAAAAAATAATGAAATTTAAGAAAATAATGTAAAATAGAATATATATGAACAAAACAATGTAAATGAGTTATTATGAAAACCAATAATTTTTTTTAAAAAACAGAATATAGCAATATAGCATAAGGATCAGAGGAGAACTCATCAAAACCTGTATTATACTGATGACACAACCTTGCTTGCTGACAGTGAGGGAGACTGGAAGTGCTTGCTGAAAAAAATAAAAGACTACAGACTTCAATACGGATTTCATCTCAACATCAAGAAGAAAAATGTCCTCATCACTGCACCAATAGGCAACATCATGATAGATGGAGAAAAGATTGAAGTTGTCAACAATTTCCTCTTACTTGGATCCACAGTCAACACCATTGTTATTAGTAGTCAGGAGATCAGGAGACATACTGCCTTAGGCAAGTCTGCTGTCAGAGACCTCTCCAAATTACAGAGGAGCATTCATTGGTTATGAAAAGGCATTTGACTATGTGGATCATAGCGAACTGTGGCTGACTCTGAGAAGGAGAATCCCAGAACATTGATTGTGCTAATGTGAAACCGATATTTGGACCAAGAGGCAGTCGTCACAACAGAGCAAGGAAACACTGCATGGTTCAAAATTGGGAAGGGTGTACGCCAGGGATGTGTTCTATCTCCATACCCTCTGAACCTGTATGCAGAACAGATTATCTGGAAGGCTGGGCTCCATGAGGAGAAGTGTGGCTTCAGGATTGGTGGAAGATCTATCAACAATCTGCATTATGCAGATGACACAACCCTGCTTGCTGAAACTGAGGAGGACCTGAAGCTCTTGCTGCAGAGGGTCAAGGACTACAGTCTTTAATATGGATTGAGGCTCAATATCAAGAAGACAAAGATTCTCACCACTGGACCAATTGGCAGCATCCAGATGGATGGTGAAGAGATTGAGATTGCTCACAGCTTTAGTTTACTTGGCTCCACAGTCAACACTCTTGGCACCAGCAGCCAGGAAATTAAAAGACGTATTGTGATGGGAAAGTCTGCTGTTAGGGACCGCTCCGAAGTACTGAAGAGCAGTGGTGTCACTCTGGAGACTAATGTGTATCTGATATAGGCCATGGTCTTTGCAATCACTTGTTATGCATCAGAGAGTTGGATAATTACTAGGAAGGCTAGAAGGAGAATTGATGCCTTTGAGCTGTGGAGCTGGAGAAGAGTATTGAGGGTACCATGGACTGCTAAGAAAATAGATTCATCCTGGAGAGGGTTAAACCAGGCTGCTCCTTGGAGGCAAAGATTCTGAGGCTTTGTCTGACATACTTTGGACATGTTGTGAGGAGGGACCAGTCCTTGGAGAGGGACATCATGCTTGGGAGGGTGGAAGGACAGCACAGAAGGGGAAAACCCTCTATGAGGTGGATTGATTCAGTGACTTGGGTAATTGGGACGGGTGTATCGGAGACAGTACAATTGATACAGGACAGAGTCGCGTTTAGGGCTGTTGTATATAGCATCACTATGAGTCTCAAGTGACTCGATGGCACATAATAACACCAACATTACTGATGTCTTTTAGAAGACTAAAGAGTGCTTGATTCAGTCATTTTCTATACATCTGAAAACTGCACAATAAATAAGAATAGCAGAAGAATAAGTTATGCTTTTCTTTTTCTTTGTCTAGTTTCCTTTTGTGGGGAGGTACCCAGAAGAGGCCAATCATTCCTAAATCTAAGGCCAAAAATTGTTGGTGCAGTCTCTTCCAGTTTAGTCCTTGTGTCATTGAGTGTGGGCAGCTCCTCTGCCCTGCATTCTCAGGCCATGTCAGGGAAATGTTACTAGGAAATGTAATCCTTGGAGAGGGACATCATGCTTGGAAAGGTAGAGGATCAATGAAAGAGAAGATACCTCAAGGAGATGAATTGACACAGTGACTGCCACAATGGGCTCAGCTGCATCAGAGATGATGAGGCTAGCACAGGACAGGGCAGGATTTAAGTCTATGAATCATAGGGTCGCAATGAGTCATACTCAACTTGATAGAACCCTTCAGTGGAAGAAGCAGTGAGGGCAGCAAGGATGAGCTCCTATGTCCCCCTCAGTTGCTGCCAGTGCTCACAGAGGTGTCACTGACTTACCAGAGGTGGACACATTTCCCTGACATGTTGCTAGGAGGAGCTGTTCCTTGGAGAAGGACATGTGGCTGGAAAGGGTGGGGATTTGGCGAAGGAGAGGAAGATCCTCAACCAGGTGGATTGACACGGTGACTTGTACAATGGGCTCTAGGGTGTTAGGAAGTATGAAGATGGCACAGGATGGAACAGGGTTCATATCTTTTGTTATAGGGTCGCTATGAGTTGTACTCAACCCAATGGCACCTAACAACAACAACAAAATAGAAATACTATTACAGGAAGGTTGATAGTTTAGTGATGGGCTGCTAATCAAAAAGTTGGTAGTAAAGCAGTGTTCTCCAGTATAGATTTTAGCTCAAGTCAACTCATTGCCATCAGTCAGAACTCATGACTGATTCTCCATTCAGTTTCTGAGTTTTTTAGTCCCCTGAGAGGAGATAGCCCATCTTTTCCCACAGACTAGCTGGTGAAGTCCAACTCCTAGAGCACAACTCCCTCTAAACTAGTATGTCACCAGAACTTCCTAAAAAATATTTAGAGCCTCCAAAACTTAATGGAAGGTTGTCATGAATCTGAATCAATTCTATAGTCAGTGAGTTTAATTTTCTATTATATACAAATGTTAGTTTTTACTTTTATTAGCCTAGAACCATCCTATGAGTCCTTGCCATTATGGATCAAATTATGGTAATTGGTCCACCGCGGAAAACATATTACTAGGGATGATAGAAAGAGAATTGATGTCTTTGAGCTGTGGTGCTGGAGAAGAGTGTTGAATATACCATGGACTGCTAGGAAAACAAATTAGTTTGTCCTGGAGAGGGTGAAGCCGGACTGCTCCTTGGAGTCAAGGATTCTGAAGCTTCATCTGACATACTTTGGGTGTATTGCAAGGAGGGACTGGGCCTTGGAGAGGGACATCATGTTTGGGAGAGTGGACGGATGGCACAGGAAGGGAAGACCCTCAATGAGATGGATTAATTCTGTGATTGGGGTGGTGGGAATGAGTGTGTTGGAGACAGCGAGGCTGTCACAGGATAGGGCAGCATTTGGGGCTCTTGTACATAGGGTTGCTATGAATCACAAGCAACTCTATGGCACATAACAACTACTACATTTTCAAGTAACATAATATTTAACTAGAAATACTTAAGAAAGTCTCTCCCTTTTTAGATTCTGAGGAACATTCTGGAAGTAAGATTTCTAACCCATTAGAATCTCTTTCTGCTAAAACAGCATTGTATAGTATATGTCCTTTCTTAAATTTTATTTACCATTTTCTTTTCTACTATTGACCACTCACACTATTGTGAAATATTGCTAGTTTCCCAAATATTTAATATCTTACAGTAATGCCAACAACTCAGATTTTTCTCAAAAACTTTATCTTGTTCATGATAGCCCTGAAAGAATCTGAATTTTAAAATTTTAAATTGTCTTCATAATTAAGATTTGGTTTATAAATATTATATTCATATAAATCTAATTTCATTTATAGAACTTAAAGATCACTCTGAAGATGAATTCTGTCCTGCAACAGATAATGCCATTTGTGACCCATCACAGACTAGCTCAACAACAAATTGTAGCAGCGTTACTGCAAACTTATCGACACTACCATCTGAGTCATGTTACAGTCAAAATATAGAAGCAGCTGAAGATTGGTTTTCTGATGATTGTCTAGAGAAAAAGAACTCTCAAATGCCTTTTCTCGAAGAACCACGAAAGCAAGAAGTATTTATGTACTTGTCAACCATTCCATTAGAAGAATGTACTGAATATGTACAGAATAGGACATATGTTGATGAACAAAATGATGACAACATTAAGGAAATAGTTTCACGAAGAAATACAGATGTTGAAATACAAAACCTTCAATATGACGTTGAATGACTATTCTTTTGAAACCTTGTATATGTTGCAATCATCAGGTAAAGTTAAAACTGAATCACCAGCTTCTGAGTCTCTTAACGTGTCCACACCAGTATCACTTTTTTTTTGTTCTTTACTGAAGAATGATCATGCTTTCCTTGCTGGTTCTTATTTTCTAGAAACAAAATTATAGGAAGAACTGGAGTAAAATCAGTGATATCAATCTTAACTTACTGTATTTTATCAAAGAAAATAATAAGTAATAAGAATATATTCCAACATTCCAATTCAAAATATTTTAAGAAATCATCAGCAAAATATATTTTAATAAGAGTCACAGCCTCTCTCTCTCTCTCCCCCCCCCTTTCTCTCCCCCTCTCTTCCTCCTTCCCTCCCTCCCTCCCTATCTATCGCTGTTAACCATCAAGTCTGAACCGATCTATAGCTGAGCCTCCAGAAGGTTTGCAGAGGCAGTTAATCACTCGGGAGATTGCCCATCCTACTCCCACATCTATCTTTTACGTAGGAACTATCTGGTGGCCTAATGGAAAGGAATTGTGCTGCCAACCTAAAGGAATATTGTTTGAATCTACCAGCTGTTCCACAGAAGAAAAATGGGCCAGTCTCTTCTGAGATTTACTAGCTCTGAAAACCCATTGGATGGTCAACTATGAGTCAATTATGACTTGATGGTATACAACAATAATTATATTTTAGTGTGAATGGTGCTGGGAGAACATCATCTTTTCTCTTTTTTTATTAATTTTAATGGAAGTCTACAGAGATTTTGGATTTCCATTCATTCATTGT